AGTACGTGCATGTGAAAAGAGGAACAAGTACGCAGCCTGTTGCAGCGGAACAGCCAGGATACTCGTGACGAGACCCCACAGCGGCGCGAGATGCACGTTGATATGCTCTGAAGTGCGCAGTGCAGCGGAGAAGGTCGTGAGCGCTTTAATCGCAGCTTCACTGCCCATTCCCCCGTTCTCAGCATACTCGGACGTCGTCGCTTTAGGCACGTTATACTGCGCCCTAAAACTGCGATCCCAAACCGCCAGCAACGCGCGGCCCTGTGCTATGCTCGCCCGTCGCGCAACGGTACACGGTGTACTCGCGTCGAAGTCATTGTCCAATGTCTCGATGGCTTGCGGCGTGCGGTACCCGGCTAGCACGTAGGGCAGCGATGTGCTTGCGAGTGTTGAAAGCGATAAGCGGAGGAAGGTGTGGAACGCGGGTAACTGTGATGCCGACGGCGGCGACGGCTTGTGGTGCGCGAGATAGGATTCTAGACCACTGCTGAAGGCGAAGGAGCCTAGGGGGAGGGCGGAGTCGGCGAGGAGGAGGAGCGCGTGGAGGGCTGGGGGGGTGTTAGGTTGGGGGATGGGAGGGTGGGTGTAGCGATAACGGACCTGCGTCATTTGCGGGGGTTGAAGGTGTCGCTGCGACGGTATCTGGGTTCAATCGGGCTTTTGCATCCTGAAGCCGTCTTTCGAGATCGGCTATCTCGTCTTGGACGGCTTCTTGCTCCGACGGTGGTTGTGTCATCGTGTGCGTGGGAACGGTGATGCGGCTAGAGTAGGGTACAACATGCGCCTCGGCGACTATTCCCAAGATAGACGGGGGTATCCATCCGGGCGCATGCAGCTTTACACATGCATAGAACCTAGTCTGAAGATAGTAATGTATGATAACGTTGTTCCATTTCGTCTTGTCTCATCAATATATGTAGTCGTGAGCCTCGTAGTCATTCATCCGTAACCAAAACTCCAGAACCAGCCCATTATCCAAAGGCATCCAAGCCGCAACAGGGTATACAGATGACAATTGCGCTCGAGAAGAAAACCGATGCTGCACACGCTAAACGAGAATGACTGGAAGCCTGAGCCTACGCGTCTTCTTCCTTTGCGTCCTTCTTGGGGATATCGGCGAACATGAGTGTGCCACTGCCCTTGTTCGACTCGAAGTTCTTCGCGCTCGTCTTCTTAAACAGCGTCTGCGGCTTCGACCTAGACGTGCGTTAGTCTACACTCCATTGCTGATATACAGTGCAAAGCGACTTACTTCTTCATGGCGTGCTTGGTCTTGAAAGCCTGCAACTTCTGTGTAGCGGGGCTCATGATGTCGTCAGACGGCGAGACAAATTTCTGCTCTCTGGAGTATCGTTAGTGATGCGCAGTGGGATATGAACATGTGTGAACTCACTGTCCGTTGTCTAGGCGCGACTGCAGAACTTGACGGTGGTAGTCGAGGCTCTTGGAGTCCTTCTTCTCGGCGTCCTTCTCTGGAGAAGACATGGGCTTGACTTGCGCGTTGGTGTCGCGAGGGGTGAGGACGTTGGTGGCCATTGCGGTAGGGTAGTTGCGGTTGATGTAAAGGCGGAAGACTTAATCAAAACTTTTCAGATATAGACGTTTCCAAGATCGTGTAGCAATTTGCAGTTGTTGTAGTTTGTGCTGAAGAGGTGCTGTCTGAAAGGATCTTGTTGCGGATTGCGGTCGTGGTTATAGTAGTCTTGTTCAAGGGTGTTTATGGTAGCCTGTCGCGTGGGGCAACGGCGAGGAACGTCATACCCTGCGCCTTCAGCCTTACATCCCTACGTTCACGGGCCCACCCACTTAAACATCCCGGATCCGGCTTTCAGTTTGAAACGACAGCTGTCCTATGGTTGGCTGGCAATGAACGCTTTGGCTAGTGCACCGAGCAAAGGTACCAGCCCAGTGTGAGTCAAAGGCTATAGAATCACACTATATAACATAAATTGGACATGGTATCTTTGTTTGCATTCTTTCTCTGGGCCATCCCAGGCCTGAGCTCCACAGAGCCAACGGAATTTATCTAAACCCATCCGCGGAAACATTGCCGACCGAGAGACGAACTCCGTGCATCTAGTAAAACATGCTAACACATGTCGTCTGAACATGCATCGCAACAATCATCGTACATTGTCTCGCGCTCTTGCGCTGCCGAACTCCAACGCCATGAATTTGGCAGAAAGCCACCCGCAAAACACCAACGTCCCAGGCACTGCTTCGTGCATGGCCTCAAAATTCGCCTTCAACGCTATTGTAAACTGGTAAGAAAGGGTACTGAAGGAAATGCAGCTGGTGATGTACATGTGGCAAAATGCAAGGAATAAGAAAAGGGTATCCGGCTTGCAGAGCTCTCACAAATGGACGCGCATGGTATCGTTGCTGCCAAAGGCCTTGCCGCAATTCGGGCACTTCCTCGCGCGGTTGGTGAGTCGATCTTGCACGCACTGGTCGCAGAACATGTGCCCACAAGTCTTGATGACCGTGTTCTTGAGCTTGCTCTTGCAGATCTGACACTGGATCAACAGCTCCATCGTCGACACTTCAGAGCTCTGGTTGGCTGTGCTCTTCTTCTTGTAGATTTGCACTTGCTTCTCCAGTCCAGTCACTTGTGCAGCAAGCTTGTCTCGCTCGGTTTCCGATTCGCGTTGGGCGTGCTTTGCCGCGAGACATGTCGCGTCCTTGGCCTCGACGACCTTCTTGAGCTCCGCTATCTGGCTGACATGACCCTCGGAAGTGATGGCATTCTCGCTGACCTTTTGTTGCAGCTGGCGGTGCTGGGTAGAAAGATCGTCCATTTGCGATCGCATTTCCGCACATTGCTTCTCTAGCTTGTCGACCAGTGACCGGCTCAAGGAATCCGCCTCTTTCAATTGCGCCACTACTTCCGTGGCTTTGGTAGCCTGGGCACGGAGGATGCGGATTTGTTGTTCGAGTTCTCCTTTGGTCTTCATGGCTGCGAAGAACTTTTGATCCGCTTTGGCCTTGTCCGCATGTGCCTTGGCAATGTTCTCTTCCCACGCAGCAATCTCGGTGATCTTCTTGCTCGCGATCGCCTGCGCCTTTTTCCATGCCGACTCCATGGACGGGAGTTCGTTGCCCAGAATCTTGCATTGGCTCTCAAGCTTGGAGATCTTGCTGCGCAGCTGCTCCGGTGTCAAGTCGTCTACGGCAGACATTACTTGATCTCCTGAACTCTGCTGCTCCGCAATCTGGAGTCGCAGTCGCTCGCATTCCGATTCGAGTGCAGCAATGCGGCTGTCGCATGCGCTCGCAAGCTGTTTCGCCTGCTCGATAGAATCCTTGGAATCCTTGTGGCTGGCCTCCAAGAGGTTATTCTTGGTGGCTAGTTCGTCACGAGCGTTTCGAATGCGAGCACAGTTCGCTTCCGCTTGCGAAACGTGGCTTGCACTGTCTGCCAAACTAGCGCGCACCTCATCGTCCACCTTGATCCTGTAGGCTGTTCGCTCTGCTTGGAACTTTTGCGCTTCTTCCCGCAAAGAAATGTTGGTGGCTTCGAGATTGTTGATTCGCTTGATCACGTCTTCATGCTGGTTCTTGATAGCTTTGAAGAGATCGGTCTTTGCATAATCATCATCCGACAGCCCGGTAAGCTTGACCTTCAATGCTGAAACTTCCTCAGTGAGCTTCTTGTTTTCCTGCTCGATCTGCTCAAGCTGCTCTTTCCTCTTGGCTGCCTCGGCTATGGCCTGGTTTTTTGCAGTTTCCAACTCTTCACTGATCGGTCCGGGTGAGGTGCCATTGACGGCTTCTGTTCCGTTGCTGGTAGATGGAGCCTCCTCCTTCGCAGGTGCGCTTGTGCCGTGCGCCTGCTGCTCGAGTTTCTGAACTTGGGCGCTCTTCAAGCGATCGAGCTTCTTCTCAGCGACCAGGTAGCGATGAGTAGCCGTGTCCAACCGGTCAGATAGTTGTTCTTTCTCGGTAGTGACGCGTTGCAGTCGCACAACGTGATCCTTCTCTGTGACCAATAGTTCCGACAGCTTCTGTTGAAGTTTCGCAACCTCAGGACTGCTTGCGGGATATCTCGCAAACAGATCGGAAAGAGATGCAAGGATCTTCTCTTTGCGGTCCGAGAGATGTTTCTTGAACGTCTGGGTGTCCTCGCACAGAAGCGCAGCGGGTACCGACTGCGAGGCATCGGAGTCGCCTGATGATGCAGGTAGTTTCTCGGCGCCCAGGAGTTTGATTTCATCGATAAGCTAAGCAGCAATTAGCATCACCTCAATCAACTTCCAGGGGTATACTGACCTGATCAAACCAAGCGTCGATTGTGCGGAGGTGGTCGTCGTGGTACTTGGAGCGGCCCTCCAGCTCGTTCAGTTGTGACTCGACGGTAGCCTTCTCGCGCTTGAACTCGCGCATCTGGCGCAGAATGGCATCTTTCTGGAACGACTGTAGATTCGAGTGGTCAGCGGGTGTGTGCGCCGTGGGCGTGGGAGGAGGGCGGGAGGTGATCGGGGGGCGAACCTCGATGTCATCTTTCCACGGCAAGTCAGCGTCTGGGTGGGAGCGAGCACCGTTGACGGTCACGGCTTGCCTCTTAGCGGGAGGAGCAGCGTCGTCGGCAATGGGCCGTTTTCGGTCCTCCATCTTGACGGCGTCAAGCGATGGGGGTGCGACGGTCCTGGCTTCGAGCCTCATCGAGGAGACGCCGGCTTCGAGATAGGGCAGCGAAGACGCGCGCGCTCTCAGGTCATTAAAGGGAGATGAAGGAGCGGATGGCAGGCACGCAGGAGACGGGCGGGCGAGAGGCAGCGGCAGGCGGGCGGGTGTGTCGTGTGAGGCCGGTGGGTGAGGAGGTCGAGCGAAGAGAGTTCGTTAGCAGCCCAGGTGGACTGCCAAGAGCTAGTGTCGCGCTAGGGCGTGGTCTGTGTCTGTCGACGCGACCCTCTGCGTGCTGCACATTCCCCACCACTGCCCGCCAATGTGAGGAAGAGAGCGAGCAGCCAGAGCCTGGCGTGAACGAGTGCTGCATAGACATGGCTGCCGACGACGCTCCCAACCAGCCGCCAGTTGCCGGTAGCGACAAAGCGCCTGCGCCTAAACCTGCGGCGGCGACCTTTAGTTCTTTTATTAATAGTGAGTCGTCCCATGCAACGGCGCCGACTCTGCTAAGCCATGGCCAGAGAATACAACGGGCAAAAAGTTCGCACCCAAAGCCGCACGACGACGACCAGCCGCTGCTGCTGCACCCATTCCTACACCTTCTGCGCCTGCCGAATCGCAGACTTCGCAGGCCGAACCAGAGCCCTCGAATGCGCCGGCGACTGAGCCTCCGACTACCGCCGAGCTACCTACACCAGCCGCGACCCAAGCACCTGCCACAGAAAATCTTGCCCAAGCTGTCCCCAGTACAGCCGAGTCTTCTACAGCGCCGCCGCAACCGACCCCGAACCCTACCCAGCCACTGCCTACCCCAGCATCTACCAATACAGAAACACAGACGCAAGCCGAGAAAGAGCCCCATGTCGCTGTACAGCCTTCGACAGACCGGGGTCTCACTACCCAATACTTGGAAGATGCGGGCGATGGCGGCAGGTCACCCAAGCGGCGTCGTATAGAACCACCCGTACAATTAGGCACCCCAGCGAGTCAAGATGTCGCTGCAACTGGAGGAGATACCACGGGCCCGTCACAGTCGGTACAACGAGACAATGAAGCAGCTGCACAATCACACCCAGACGTCGAAGCTACGGCCGCTGTCGATGCGCCGGCACCAGCGAACAACGCCGGCGAACAGACTGCCGACCCGAATGTCTCCGCCCCTACTGCAGATGCCCAGGCCCTTCCACAACCGCGAAAGAGGAGGAAGCTTCCATGGGCAGCGGTGAACCACCCTCCAGAGGGCGAAGAAGAGGCTGCGGCTGCGGCGCCGACTCGAAAGCCTCGCCAGCCACGCAAGAAGAAGGCCCCTGCAGCAGATCCAGATGCGGAACACGTTGAACAAGAAGGGGAAGACGAAGAAGAGGCTCAGCCCACCCGGAAGCGAGCTGCCGCCAAGCCCCGTGCAAGAAAGAAGGTCACCGATCCCGCTACACAAGATGGCGAGGAAGCTCCAGCGCCGGCGAAGAAAGCCAGGAAGCCAAGAAAGAACAAGGGGGCTCTGAGCAGCGAGGTCGTCGAAGGCCCAGAAAATGAAGTCGGCCGCATAGCAGATGAGATTGTAGCAGCAGCTGTGCGTCGCAAGCCTAAAGCAAAGAGGAGGAGAAGGGCCACTCCAGAGGGCGAAGAAGGCGAAGAGGTCGATGGAGTTGAAGGCGAAGAGGGCGCAGTCAGGGAGAAGAAACGGAAGGGGCGACCGCCACGAGAGCCCACACCATCCGATGCCGAAGACCAGACGATTGACCCCAATGAAACCTATATGGACACTCTAGCAGCCCGGGATCTTCGCGTTGGAAAGCTGTCTTCACGGGAAAAGCAAATGCGTACCATCGATTGGGATGCCGTTAAGCAACGTCGAAGAGAAGAAGACAACAAGAACATCCCTTCGAAAGCAGATCAAGAAAAACAGGACAGACTTTTGGCAGAAGCAGGAGCGGAGCTGGCGGCTTCACAGGTTGAAGCGGGACCCAGGTATCGTGCGAACGCAGCAGGCGAGTTGGAATTAGATCCCACCACTGTATTTATCGACCGAGAGGGCGACGCAGACCGTCTCATTAGCGACATGACCGTCGTTGAAGACCAAGACATCACCGCACGCCTCACAACCCGCAGCTTCATGAAGAACAACAAGCGCTTCCCCAACGAGTTCCTCCTGCCCGGCCAAGGACGACGTTGGACCACGGACCTCACGAATCTGTTCTACGAGGGCCTCAGATCCTTCGGCACCGATTTCCAGATGATATCCCAAATGTTCCCCGGCTTCACCCGCCGCTCCATCAAAACCAAATTCACCCGCGAAGAACGCGACAACCCCGACGACATCCGCGCCGCTCTCCAAGGCCGCTGCGAGATCAACGGCGATGGCTGGAATACGTTCCTACAGAAATCGGAAAAGACCGAGGCCTCTTTCGCCGACACGGACAGGATCAAGCGCGAAATGGCGGCGGAGGAAGCAGAGTATGCGGAGAAAATCGCCAAGGCAAAAGCGGAAGCCCAGGAGAGGAAACGCCAGAGGGAGCTTGCGGGTGTGGATCAGGATGGGAATCCGATTGGTGACGGCGCGAATAAAGAGAATGGGAAGGGCAAGAAGAAGAGGGGGAAGAATAAGCAGGTTGCTTTTCAGGAGGAGCAGGGCGTGGAGATTGTGGGCGAGATTGGGGATGATGATACTTGGGGTCAGGAGTAGTGGGCGATGAGTGATACGGCCGTGTCAATGATTGATGGATATGATACCCTTTAGATTCTACGGCCTCTGAAAGCAGAGAAAAAGAACAACTGATGCATGATCATGCATGTCGTAAAGTGGGAGTGAAGGCGTCTCTTGGACTGATGACAGCCTCGTCTGCGGGTGTTGCGAAATGTCCGTTAAGCGCTGGTGGGCATTCTATTATCGGTGATCTGTTCTTGCTATTTTATCGTAGTCTTGGCGGTATGAGATTTTCTACTATATGAATGAGGCTGGCTGTTGCTGCGCATGACGTTCGTGGCTGCCTGGTCATGTGTACACAGCCCCCTCGGTTCCTTCCCTACTCAACATTTGTTGTTGTCATTTACCTCCATCTCACTGTCGGTAACCTTTCCGTCATCATCTTTGCGCTTTTCAAGCTCTCCTTTTTAGCATTACTTTACGCCATGCTATGTCACTTTTGCGAAAATCTCATTTTTGTACCCGTTCGCGAAGTCAGCGTGCAGGATGCCGATTGGTTAACTGACCCAGACTTCGTCCGCGATCCAGACACGGAACTTGTAAGCGTGCATCAGCCTTCGAGAGAAGCGTTAGAACTCTCGGCCGGTCAAGGATGTCGAGTTTGCGCCATGTTCTGGTTTCAACTATTTTACGACGCCGGGGCTGCTCATGCGCATCGCGACAACGACCCCGAAGTTGCACCTATTCTACTCTGTATGAAGTCCCTTTGGGACAAGGATTTTGAACTGCAAGATTCTTTCCAGTACGAAATGAAGCTGCGCTATGGAGAACGATTAGCTTCACTCGGGATACACAAGCCTGTCTCTGGTATAACGGATGAACATGTATGATAAGCCTAGCTGACACGGGGTGCAGACAAAGTAAGCACCATGCTCGATCTCTCCTGCGTTCTCTCTTCACGCCCTGAAGAGCAACATAATCCCATCGGTTCAGCACTCGACGATCATACAGGATCCGACGACAACATGGATTTGATAAACACATGGATCCAGCACTGTCAAAAGGGGCACCACTGTTGTAACACGGAAGTTTCGCCGCAAATGCTACCGTTACTACCCACCCGGGTGATCGAAATCGAAACTGATGGCCAAGCTCGTATCACGGAGACCAAGGAAATGAGATCAGAGTACCTAACTCTGAGTTACTGCTGGGGGCAGGGAAAGAGAATGCTATCTACCCTAGGCGCTGGCTCATATGAACGTTTTAAACAAAAGTTACCACTCGATGATACAATGCCCAAAACCTTTAGAGAGGCTATTCAGGTTACCAGGTCTCTTGGATATCGTTACTTATGGATAGATGCTCTTTGCATCATACAAGATGATCTTGAAGACGTGGGGAATGAAATGGCTAAGATGGGGGGCATATACCGACATTCGGCGTTGACGATATTCGCAGCAAATGGTCCAAACACAGATTCAGGTCTTTTCTTTAAACGCGACGCCCGGGGCAGCAAATCCTGTAACGTTCGTATAGCTCTAAAACAGAACAGCAACTTGATGCAAAAATGCATATCGATCCAGCCTCCGGTAGCATACCGTCGGGGTGCTTTGGAGACAAGAGGATGGGTTCTTCAAGAGGAGGTGTTGTCAGGACGCTTACTGACTTTTGATACTAACGCAGTCAAATGGTCTTGCGTAACGACGTTCGCGCGCGAAAGCGCTCCGTGTATGTCAACGTATGGTGATCAGGAAGAAGCCGTTAGAAACATGTGTTATCAAACCAACAACGCGATGCGGCTGATAGTAAGACGTCCAGACATCTTCAACAAGCTCCCGACTTCATCGTACGAAAACAGACGAGATAATCACTTCGATGTATGGAACGATATGGTTGCCCACTACACTCGGAGGGCTTTAAGTGTTGATTCCGATAAGCTGCTTGCAGTTGCAGGCTTGGCAAGTCTTATGGGGAAAAATTATCATCTCACCTATGTCATGGGTTTGTGGAAAGAAGATTTGCAAGTTGGATTATGCTGGTGGGTTGCTTCGCGGAATGATATGTTTGGCAGGGATGGTCCAAGGTCCATTACCGAGAACTTTCCTGGTTACCTTGCGCCGACTTGGTCCTGGGCCGCTGCGCATGGTATGTGTGTGGATTTCTTCAAGCCTCGCCTAGATCGCCTTCCAGAAGAAGAAATGCAAGTCGTCGATGTGGACGTTTCATATCTACCAGGAGCGCCGAAAACTTTCGGCTACATCGAATCCGCTAAACTGTCTGTCTGTACCAAAATGCGGCGGATATTTCTGGCACCACGTCAAGCGAGTTTGAAACAAAACGACCGCCCTGTAGTTGACGAGGAGACACGCACTTTGTGGGTTGATGCGTTCGACACATCCACGAGGTCCTTCGTCGGTAGTGTCTACCTAGATGCGGTGAAAGTATACGAGGATATCTTCAAACGCTATTCGGGTAGCCGACTGCCCACAAAGATTCAGTCAGCTCCGAAAGGTCCTGTTAGTGAAACTGTTCGCACCCATCAACTCTCGTCCGATGGATATGAAGCTTGGTGCGTGCCCTGTCTCGTGCAGAAAGACGAGGACGGGTACCGTGAGATGATAAATCTCGTCTTGACCCAGCTCAATGCTGGTAGGCGAGAGTATCGAAGAGTTGGTTTGATGATCCTCCAACGCAGTGAATGCAAAAATTTCATGGCAGGCAAGGATATAGATGAAGACTGCGAAATAATCCATATCCTCTGAACACGACGGGCATATCAGAACGATCGCTGACACCGCTAATTTCACGTCAGGCGTACAATTCACAATTGGCACAACAACTATCATCGATAGGAATGAATGGTCGTCATATCCAATCGACTCATACACTGCGCCATCGCCCCTAGTCATCCCACCCCGTCCTCGCCTTAATAGCATCCGCCGCCTTCTCCGCAATAGCATAAACCGTCGTACAAAGATGCGTGGCCGGCAGATACGGAACAATACTCGCATCGACCACACTCAACTTCCCAACGCCATAAACTTTCAAATCCGTTCCCACAACACCGCCAAGTTCTTCCGGAAGCATCGACGCCGTACCCGCCATATGAACGAACGTCGGATCCATTGTACTGCGTAAATACCTTTCGATCGCAGCATCGCTCGTAACATTGGATCCAGGCGAGAGTTCAACAGCGCCGAGACCAGAGAAGGAAGACAAAGTATTGAAGCGGCGCGAGAAGCGCACCATTTGCACGGCGAATTTGATATCCAGTGGGTTAGAGAAGGTGCGCCAATCCACCAGTGGGCCTGACGCGGAATCAGTTGGGTTGATGTTCACGGTGCCGCGACTCAAGGGGCGCATTATCGCAGCGTTTCCTATGGGACCTTCTGCAAAGGTGAATTCAAAGGCTGCAGCGTCGTCGCGTGCGAGGTATGCGGCGTTAATGTTGTGTATTGCTTTGGCGCCTGCAATAAGCGTCTCATCATATCGGGCCGGGAGGTAGGGAGTTGGGTCTTGAGCCGCGACAGCATTGACAAGTGCTTTCCAACCTTCTGGATCGACGGTCTTGAGGGGTAGGAAGGCAGCTTGGTTGCATCGCGATGTCGTAAGTGGACCTTCGCGCGACTGTGTGTACTCTTTCTCGGCTTCGGCGTAGAAGGTCTGGTTCGTTGCCAGGGCTCCAGCGGTGGGAAAATATGGGTTGGTCGTCCAGTTCCAGACACTGCCTCCAAAGGGATGATCTTGGAAGTTTGCACCTACACCAGGAAGATGCTTCTTGACCGCAATACCAGCCCCTTCGAGGACACTCTTTGGACCAATACCGCTGCACTGCAACAACCAAGGCGTCCATATCGCACCCGCCGCAACGATAACTTCCTTCCTCGCCTTCACAACACTCTTCTCCGCACCTCCCACCTTAACCATACGCACCCCGTCAGCCTCCAGCTCCCCACTCTCCTTGACCAGAATCTCAGTCACCTGATACCCTGTCAAAAGATGATAATTCCGCCTCTTCGCATACGGTTCATAATGCGCCGTCCTAGCATAACTCCTCGTCCTCAACACCGGATCCAACGCACTCGGCGCCATAATACTACCAATCGCATTCCCAGCTGCAGCTTCCTTCGGCTTCTCCACACCAATCTCCCTCCACGCATCCCACAACCGGTTTTGACCGGGGAACTGGTACGGCGGGAAGGATACCTGGATCTCACCATGCCCGCCATATGCCGCCTCAATATCCCACGTGTAATTGTACTTGTCCGCTACATCTTCAGTCGGCGGCGTGAAGGTAACAGATTTCTTGAAATACGGAAGCAGGTCTTTGAAGCCCCAGCCTTTGTTTCCGAGAGCTTCCCATGCATCGTAGTCGGCGGCGCTGCCGCGATCGAAGAACATGCCGTTCACGGCACTGCTGCCACCTACTATGGCGGCTGCGAGAGGGCTCGTGGTGTCATTATTGAGGCCAGGATTGGGGACAGGGGTGAAGTTGAAGTAGCGCTCTGGGGTGGGGGCGAAGCTTAGGGTGTTGGCTGGGACAAGTATGCTGGGGTCGTTGACGAGGTTGCCGTATTCGATGACGAGGACGGTGTCTGTGGTGGGTTTGTTAGGATGAGAGGGTATGGGGTTGAGATGGGGGATTGTGACTTACGCTTTCCGTTCTCTGTTAGTCTGTTTGCGACTGTGAGGCCGGATGTGCCTCCTCCCACGATGATGTAGTCGTATGTTTGATTGAGCGGGGCGGTGAAGTGTATAGCAGAAACTATAGCAGCTGCGAGAGTGCTGATGAAAAGTTGAATGGATGGAGACACCATGTTGGCTAAACTTCGACGTCAATCAGTTCACATCTTCTTCCCCAGGCAAGTCATATTATATACCAGTTCCAATCCCATAAGCCACCTCCTGCATCATGCACACACAAATTATCCATACAAGCCCTAACCCTCTTCTACCTCAGAAACGAAAAGACAAACAAACTTGAGCGACCCCAAATGCATACCACACGGCCTATACCCGCCGAACGTCGCCTCAACACA